CATAAGCATTGCCACAGTAGTATCCGTATCCTAGCTCAAACGGAACAACTCCTTGTGAGCCTTGATGCCACACTTGCATTTATGGTCCGGCATCTTTGTGTATGGCCATGGTTTAATGCCCGCTCCAAACTCCGCAATTTCATACGAAGCAGGCTAGTACAATTTGGGTCCATAGTTTTACTCCTCAAAGTCACAAGATGGGAACCCCCTCTAAAAAAAGAAATGTTCAAAGTGTAACATTGTATGTGCAAAACGCATACACGCTTAGAGATAGATTGATTTCATGACAACTTACATAATATGACAATCCACAACGATAGAATGGAGTGAATGCTCGACGTTGACTGGGAGTAGTTAGTAGCGCGTCGACACTTCATAATGGCATTTAGGAGAATTGGCTAGACAACGCAAAGCAGCGTCAACCTTCTCTGCCTCTTTCATTTCCGGAGGGTTCGGTGGCGGCAGAACCCAACGAACAAATTATGAATATGGAACGCTCTTCCAGGGGTCATAAGAAAACAACATAATCGACGAATCAAACATTTCATCGCCATCAATCCACTAATAGAAGCTGCATTCCTCTAGGTAGGCATCAAGTGTTGGGGATGACGCTTAAGTTGGCAATAGTAGAAAGCACGCCTAGCTCACGTGTGATGCCTTGACTGCTTCACAAATGATGGTAACCCACAGTAACACAACGGTGTTGGAAGTGCTGGTAGGAAAGGACCGATAGCACCATGATTCTTCGGATGGTGCACGAATTGGTTCTTATTTGGAACCGCCATTGAACTTATTACAAAGTAGTTCAAGAAAGCAAAGATATAAACCAATACTATTACACAATTGAACAACAATTTTCATCTCAATCATCTCTATAATCATAGAAACCCATGAAGCCAAACCCTAAAACAAACTTATTGAATATAAATGATGTCTATACATACATAGTCCAACTCATCTATACATCTAATCACCAAAAAAAACTTTAAATCACACAATTACAAGAAAGTTTACTAACAACAGTCCAACCCATACTGTTGTATAAACCATTGCAGTCAAACCCTAATGTAGTGCCAACCAAAACCAATCATAAAAATTATAAAAGTTCAACAACTACAACATAAACCATAATATATTAGACATGATTAGCCAAAGCAACTTTTATTAAACCAAATGAAAGCCAGTATTGCACACACCAGTGTAAACTAGAACAGTATATAAACATCAACTAAACACAAAAAAAACAGAGGTGAAGAAGTCATACCTCATACACGAGACCGATCAAACCTGAAATACAAATGCAAACTTGATCAAAGGCAAATAGAGGATGGGAGAAAGAGAAGAGAGATAAGAGAAACAACTGAGGTCACCCGAGAGAATGGAGAAGATAGGGAGGAAAAAGGAGGTAGGCCACGCCCTTATTTGGGCCTGTCGCGCCAACCCGCCTTATATATGGAGTCATCGGCGCGACAGGCGGGACCCACGCCGGCCACGCATCCTCGGTCAAACATCCATCATCGTGGCTCCCTTGTCGCGCCCAATGCATGTGGCGCGATAAGTGTATGATTGTCTTGCCACCTGCTATCGGGCACGACCAAAAGGGTCAGTTTTGTAAATATTTTTTTTGGATTAGTTTTAAAATATTGATTGAAAAAGGATTAAAAATAAAAAATCCTAGATTTTAGCCCGCCACGAACCTCGAGGGCCTGGGCACAGATCTTGCTGCCTAGAAATTTTTTTATCCAAGTCCGGTTCGAAATACTTTTTTTGCTAATTTTACACCGTAAAATACGCGGGGGCCAGGCCGGAGCACGACCTGACTAGTGGGATGGTCATGGGCGGGACACTTTGGGCCCAAAATAACCTGGGATTCTTTTTTTGCCTGCCCCTATGCTCAGGTCTAGGTTTGGCATAGGTTTTTTTCACCTTTACTTTTAAAATTGTTTTACTTCAAGAAAAAATCTGAATAAAGCATGAGAAATCATTATTATAGCATAAGAACAAATTTTTAACAAAGTCTACTTCTTTCCCCTTTTTATTATTTTTATTTATTTTCCCTTTAATATGTAGAGTGAAATGGTGAGGACCTTAGTTGGCTTCATTTCTGAGTTCTTGCTAGGTTTTTTTTTTTCTTTTTATTTACCACATCTTGTTTGTGGTATATGCTTTGTACTCTATCAAGATGTTGTCTTCGCCTGGAAGAAAATCTAGCAAGATGTTGCTTATTAAGTGAGTAGGTCATTAAATACATCATTGATTTGCTGAAATTTTTAGTCCCTAGGTAGATATGACTTGTGACTGCATCATCATACAATTGAAAATGTACTACGAAACTACTCCCTCGTCCCTAAATAATTATCGCAGTTGGTGTACGTGTCGCAAGTTTGACTTAATTTGTAGAAAATACGTGCAACATTTGTATCTTCAAATAAATTTATTAAAAAACTATATTCAAAGATCTTTCCAATAATACTAATTATGTACCATAAATATTAATATATTTTAATATATATTTAGTCAAAGTTGTTTCTTGGGAAGCGAAAGCAACAGATATTTAGGGACAAAGAGAGTACATAACAAATATATATTGCTTTGGTATAAGGTCACCCACAATGGTATAAACTAGTTACTAGATCTAGCCAACATCTCCAATAGTAATAGTTTTTATGATTAGACCCACATGACACTCTCACATGATATTGGAATATGTGTATGAGCCTAGCTTTTGATCAAGAGCTAAGTTTTCTCTCTTTGCTATTAAAATATAAAAAAATACTTAGAGCTACCTTATGAATAAAAACCCCACATTACTAAGGCAAAAGTCCCACATAGAAATTGAAATTGTTGAATTGAACGTTCATTCTACTAGGTAGTAAGGAAATATTTTCCCTTTTTTATTGGTCGGAAGATGGCTCTATTAAATCCATCCTCCGTCTCTTTTGGCCCCTAAGGTAGTGTTTGGTTCCAAAGATGAGATGGGAAGGAATGGGAAAAACAGGATTTTAGGTGTTTGGTTTGGGAAAAACGAGTCAAGCACATCCCATAGGATATCCATGGAAAGTGAAAAATATCCTCAGATTTGGCGTGACGGGGTCATCCCCATGGGGAAAATTTAGGCTGTTTGGAACACAGGAATTTATAACATAGAAATAGGGAGACAAGGAATGGAGAGAGGAGAGAGAAATAGGCAAGCGAGAGCAGCCACGTGATGAGAGACAGAGAGGGCACGCCAATCGCCATATTTCCATTGATTTCAGGTGATGCTTTTTTTCCTCTAAAATGCACATAGCTCACACACTTTCCTCCGGAAGGAAATTTTGCTTTCCCTTGTTCCAAACGCCCTATTTCACTTCCTTTCCAGAGGAACGATAGACTCCAAAATTCCTCCAAAGTTCCTTCAATCCAAACACGCCCTAAGGGCCTGTGGTGGATTACGGTTGGTTTCGAGATAGGAAGAAAAAAAAAAAATAGCATTCCTTTGTTTTGTTGGCTCGTCATTTTAATCTCTTTGGAATGGAGGATTACAACTTTCCTTTCCTGAGAGAAAAGGTTTGCTTCCCCATCTCACGCGCAGGAATCAGAGAATCCACTCTGATCTCTTAAGTTCTCTTCCTGATCGTGAAGTTCGAGACTGTTATTTGATGACCTACAGAGCTAAAGCAGCAGCCACGTGCCTGTTAAAGTAGATTCTTGTTCACGTGAGGTTAGGTGCTTTTAATACTTTCTAAGTACCCATATTGACTTAACATGTTATAATTCCTATATTATAAATTCCTGTGTTCTAAATAGCCTAAAATTTTTGTTCCTATGTTTTGAAATCCTATAATTTTTTACTTTTTATCATATCTTATTTTTGTGTTTTTTCCTATTTCTATGTTTTGGATTCTACACTTTTTAAATAAAACACGAGGGATCCCTTCTGCAACTAAAATTGATAAATCGTCCTCCTGTTATTTGATGGCCGCCTCACGTGGCGCTAATTGTTGGTACCTCACGTGCCTGTTATCAAAGTTCACATTACATCACAACACCGTGTTAGTGAGTTAGATTCAATCACACACAGTTTCATCATCTCGAAAGTGATTGATGGAAAGAGTTAAAAAGAAACTCGGCTTAGGATAATCCAAGGTGAAATAGTTGTACACTTTTTTTTATGAAACAGGATGGGATCCCCTACTGAAATTATATTAAAATATAAGGATAAATAAGTTGTACACTTTTGTTAGATATAGAAGACAGGGAAAACAAAAGGACACCCCCTTAATAAGCCTTAATAATTTACATGGATGATAAAGGTGCTGGATTCACGGCCTGTCAGGTATGCATGCCAGACGGCCATCATCTGAATTGAGCTTATTTAAAATTATTTTCAATCATAAAATAATATTTTTGCACCTGCATCGGAATACGTTTTTGGTCGAAAGTTGCGACGCCAGGCCACCGGACGTCTACTCCTCCCTGGTTTAGTTTTTCTATTAGTAGGAAAAATAGATTAGATTTATTTAAAAATGAAGGGAAATCACGTGTCATGCAATAATCTGATTGATTAAAATGGAGTAACTACCATGTCGATTCAATACGAGAGAATTCCCCGTAAGCCATTATAAAAGTTCTCAATTCTCTGTAAACCACCAGAAAGATTACAATGTCATGAAAGCCATAAGACAAATTTTTTTTAAGTCTAATGCCACTACCGTTAGCTTCTTATTTGGCAAATAACCATGTGAAATGCCATAACAGGAGATTTCGTCAAAAATTTCGGCATCCAAACGATGCCCAAATTTCAGCCGCCAGCTGTCGGCGGTGCTCCCGTGGCTGGAGAGGCCTCCCTTCCTCTCCCTCGAGCGGTCGTCAAACTTCCACAGCCACGAAGCGGAGAGGCGAGAGCTGTGCCCCAAACCCCTCCCCCACACGACGCTCCTGCCGATGGGGTCCGCCGCAGTGTTGCCGCGCGGCACCCGAGGAGGACGCAGATTCAGTAACTTACCTTGGCGACCACGATGCGCCACGCGACGACTTGTCCGGGGCGGTCTGGTGCTGGAGTACGACGTGAGTTATGGCCAGATAAGACTTACGCAAGTTACGTCCAGGATGCACACCTCGTCAAGGTAAGTTCGCGGGAATCTGCGTCCGCCTCGTGACGTCTTTGCAGCACGGTTCCACCTGCGCCGGGCACCAGCAGACAGACCTTGCTTTGCTAGTTTGCTTGGAACAGAGCAGAGGAGAGGAAGAGGAGAGACACCGCAACCGCATTGCCCTGAGAGGGAAGGGGGCCTTGCTGCTCCTGCGTCGCCTGATCGAATTAGCTCGCTCACGGCCGGCCCCCGGCCCCAGGTATGCATGCCAGATTCCAGCCATCATCTGAATTGAAGATGGCGGCAGCAGCATCCATGGCGGCGCATGTCGTTGCGAGCAGCAGGCCGGGCAGGAGGATGGGTGGCTGCACCTGCTGGTCGGAACCGCCACGTTTCTTGGTCGTCAGTTGCGACGCCAGGCCAGCGGACGTCTACTCCTCCCTGATATGGTTTTTCTATTAGTAGGAAAAATAGATTAGATTTATTTAAAAATGAAGGGAAATCACGTGTCATGCAATAATCTGATTGATTAAAATGGAGTAACTACCATGTCGATTCAATATCTGCAGGCCGCAAAGATTTTGGGACCTCCCACGACCTTCAATGCGGCCAAGCTCAAGGTGGAGTTCGCCGGTGTGGAGCTGCGGAGCAACAAGCAGCCGCCTCCTTTCCCCGGAGCCTACACTCTGACCCACTGCGACTTCACGGCGAACCTGACGCTGGCGGTGAGCGGGCCCATGACCAGCGAGCAGCTGGCAGTCGACGCTGCAGAGGGACGACGTGGTGGCAGAGTGGAAGGAGGTGACCACCGCCAGCAGCAGCAGCGCCGGGGAGAGGGAGATGACGCTGCAGGTGCGTTGCTTCGTCAGCGGCGCCAACCTCCTGCAGGAGCTGGCCGCAGGTTTCAGAGATACGTCTTCTCCAAAGAGCTGCCGCTGGTACGTAGTACGACGTTGCTTGCATTCCAATTCCAATTACAACCAACCGGAATAATAACCTTGTCTGCTGCTGATGGATGGATGGATCTGAAGGTCCTCAAGGCGGTGGTTCACGGCGACGCGGCTCTGTTCGCGGAGCGGCCGGAGCTGATGGAGGCAAGGTGTGGGTGCATTTCCACTCCAGCTCTCGCAAGTACAACCGGATAGAGTGCTGGGGCCGACTCCGACTCAGGGAGGCCACCACCAGGAGGAACCACCTGCTGGATCTGGATGGCCGCCGGCTGGACCAAATGCAGAGCGCCATCATCACCAAGAGCAAGCGCCGAAGGAAGTGGGCGACACCGGAGACAATCTTCAACGCCCTGCTTGCCCTTCTCCTCTGATTTTGATTCAGCTGCCTGCTGCTGCCTGCCTATACACGGACTATTATAGAGCGATCAAGCAAAGCATTCGTGATCTGAATCTGATTGATATATACTCCTACAGACAACCAAACCATTGTCAGAGAATTTGGAAAGATTGTTCATTCTTTGCTCTGCTGATGTGCACTCACTGTACTATATTATATGTAAATTCATCAGCATCAGCGGAGAGATTAACTGGCATGCATTCTTCCTGGTTACTCCTACGATGTATGTACCATATCAAAGTGAATACATGAATTAGCATTTGCTACTTGCTAGCAGTTTCACTCCTGCTTCACCTCCTATGCGAAGTGAAGATTTTACTTGCCTGTATCATCTTCTGGTTTTTCGTTTTTTTTTGGAAAATGTATCATCATCTGTTGCTTGCAGAAAATGTTTAGGTTACCGATTTCTGATGCTAGCGTTACTTTGTAGTTCTGGTGAACAGCACCGCGGCATCTTTGAGCAATACAATACAATTGCTACTTGTTTTGAAAGACGGGGGAACACAATCCAGCTGCAATGTGGGGGTTTCAGACATTCAGATTCAGAAACAGGCGACCTGGCTGGTTTCAGAAGTTCCACTAGGAGAACACACACAGCCAGCGATTTATAAGCTTTAAGGACTGGCAGTTGCAAATGAGAGAAAAAATCTTGTTACAAATTTTATAATCCATTATGTATAAGCGAAACGAACAGGCTGACAGCGATTTCCCCTTTTTAGGACTGCACTGCACAGGAATGGTGACTTGTCCAGTGACAGTGAGTGTAACCATCAGGTTTGACAAGTGGCTCAGACTTGTACGCATGATCTATAGCTGTGAATCTGTGATGATGATGATTATCGGAATCAAAGCAAAGATGCATTTTTAGTTTAGGGCTGATTGCAGCTTGAAGGTGCTACAAAGTTTGTGGCTTGTGTTCGCTGTACTGCTGCAAAAATTCATGCACGACAAGAGGCATTGTTACTACACTAGACTGCAATACTGCCTGCATGCTCAACTCAACTCTGTAAAAACAGCACTTGTGAAAAAGTACTCTGTATACAACACTTGCTGGCATTGCTCATGTATTACTGCAAGAGCTGGCGTTGCTGTTGCCCCGAGAAAGCGAGCGATTGAGGATTGATGGGCATTGCATTGCGTACGATTCAGTTGATAGTACTATAGAACATTCAGTCAGAAGTTTGATTGAGTTAGGAAGCGCAGGGCCATCCATACGGCACGACTTTCGTTGCGATTTGATAAATTGTTGTGCGCTCCAATTTTAGAAAAGGTAGCAGTTGCAGGTAGGCCATGCCCATCGTTATTTTTTATCTACACATTTAATATCATCGCTAACTGCACTGAAACAAAATTTGCTGATTGACTTTTTGTAGACAGCCTGCAGAGAAAAACAACGGGTAATTAAACAAGGCCTCAGTCAGAAGATGGATGGGCAGCTCAGCGCAGGGCCATCCATACGGCACGACTGCCGTTGCGATTTCAAACCTTGTGCGCTCCAATTTTAGAGTAGGTAGCAGTTGCAGGTAGGCCATGCTCATCGACACTTTTTACCTACACTACATCATCGCTAACTGCACTGAAACAAAATTTGCTGATTGACTTTTTGTACGACAGCCTGCAGAGATTGACAACGGGTAGTGTAAGCTAAGCACGATTGCTTGCTCCCTGTACCTATCTATCTATCTGTAATAATATCTATATATCTACATACATACAATAACGCCTTCTCTCTCTCTCTCTCTCTCTCAAACTCAACTCTCTCTCTCCACAACAAGAAAAGAAAGCAGAGCAAGGAAAGGAGGAAAGAAGAGAAGGCCTGCTCCGCTCGTTCTTGCATTGCATCTCATCAGTTGCTGCCCTGCCGACTGCCCACTGCCCACTGCCAACTGCCGTGCCACCACCAGTGAGGTCAGTCCAGCAGCATGGGCACCTGCGTGAGCAAATGCTACCCCTGTTTCCCTTGTCATCCTATTCCTTGCAACACTTCCAGTTCCACCGCCGGCATCTCGCAGGCTTCTCCTGCCGTGCACCCGCACCCGCACCCATTGCCAGGGGAAGCAGGAGCGGCTTCCGCTTCTCCCACCACCACCTCCTCCTCGCTGTCGCTGTCGCTGTCACTGGTGGCGTCCACTTCCTTGTGCGCCTCCTCCTCCGGCTCCTCGTCGTCATCGTCTGCGGCTTCATCCTCCTCCTACTTGTGGCGGCGGAGGCCGCGTGAGCTGGTCCTCCTCCCCAACGCCAGCACCAGCAACAGCATGTCGTCTCGGGAGTGGGACGTTGTGGTGCTGGACCCCAAGTCCAAGTCGTCCGACTCCGACCGTTGCAAGCCCATCAGTGGCCGTGGCAGTGAAAGGCACAGGCTTGCAGCGCCCACGCCCAAGCGCGCGCGGTCGGTGTCCCCCTTGTCCGCCCGCCCGGCACCGCCACCGCCACCGGGCTCCTACGAGCAGCAGCAGCAGCACAAGAAGAGGAGGCAGAACACCGGCAGGCGGAGCACGACGGCAACACAGCGGGAGGTCGTCGCGCTCGCGCAGGCCAGGAACGAGGACAAGAAGAAGAAGACAGAGGTGAGCCAGAGCCAGAGCCTGAGGAGGAGATTGGAGGCCAAGATCTCATCCTCAGCTCATGCAGATTCCACTACTGCTGCTGCGCTTGCGCAGGTGACGCCGGACGACGACCTCACCAATCCCATCATCTCCATGGATTGCTTCATCTTCCTCTGATCTGATGACTGCTCCTCATTTCCATCCATCGATGGTCCATGTGTTTTTCTTTGCTTTTCTTCTACTTCTATCTAGTACTCCCTCTTTCATTGAATTCTTGTGATCAGAGTCTGCCTGTAATCGATGATGGTTGCCTTGTTTGGAGATTGATTATATATAATGATCAGAAAAGGCATCGTGTGCTATTGCCTCTAACCGACGATGCTCAGAAAGACAAAAGAGATACACACCACACCACCATATATTTGACCGGAGAGAGAGAGATGGCAATGGCGTACACAATAGGAGAGAGTTGGTTGCCGTGTTACATCAACGTGCAAGCAACTAACCCATACAACACATGTACAGCTAGCTAGAAGGCTAAGATTCTACTGAGTTTCTTTATGCTTGTATGCATATATATACAGACTAGGAATGCACTACTGATTAAAGGTTCAGCAGTGCATTCCGATTAGAAACATAATCCTGCATTTGCATAAATGATAAACCCCACCCAGAGATGCAGCAAAGAGCAGACTTGATTGGTGCCATTTCTTCCTGGTTTGGTTTATGCTCAATTGCTACAAATAATGCCAGACAGCATTTTGAGTCATACCAAAATAACACAATAGCCTGTCTAGCAACGTGATGCAGACATGGTGGCCTTGCTAGTCACAACCCAGTGACTAAAGCTATTACTAGTGTCTACCAACAACTTCAAAACACTTTTGCACCACCTAGCCCCAGCCAGCACGCCTAAATGGACACTTACAACATCAGCCTAAATGGGCACTGTTATGTTCTTCATATCTGTAATCAGATCATCCAAGGAAATCACTTCAGTGGCCTCCTCCTTCTGCCCCTTCTCAGCAGAAGCCAGCTTCTCATCCAGCTCGCTTATCTGCCTCCTTATCTTCTCACCACCATCTGGTAGCTTCGACACCAGCGCCTAGATTCAATTCAACAATTGATTTACACTCATCTATTGATATATATATACATGGCTGGTCAAGCTGAATAAAAGACATGTGAGAGGATGAGTTACAGCGTTGGAGAGGGTCAGTGAAAGCCGGTTGATTCTCGCCTTTAACTCTTCAAGACTCTCTGCGCTTCTGTTGCTTGGAGAGTATTTTCGAACAGTGAAACTTTCATCTTTTGGCTTCAACGCAAAAGCTGCCCTGCACAAAATAGAAACACAAAGTTTAAATAGACCTACCTATGCAGCACAGTACAATCATGGAGGGAGAACATGGCCATCCTTACCCGCTGGCGACATAGTCAGATGAGGATCCCTTGTAATAGTGCTGGGGCATCATGGGCATGCCACGAGGTTTGCTGCATGTAAAAGCAGTGTAATTGAGGCATTCAAGTTTGTATACAATCATAAATATGGCAGTATGACAATTGACAAACATCAATGCAAGGTAAGGAAATTGGAGACAAGCTCAAAACTGTGGTATACTTCAGTAACAATAAATCTATGAATAGCTATAGTATTAAAAGCAGTAACACTAACCTGTCCAGTGCATCATTCTCACTCAACGTGGGCAGGGTTGCAGTTTTAGAGAATAGGAGGCTGTGATGGCTCACACCGGCTATTCCTTGTTGCTCCAGAAACTGTATATGCTTCCTCAAGGACTCATCCCTGTAAGATGTGTAACAAACCCAGCAGGTTTCAGTGAAACAGTGCACAGTGATCAAGCAGGAAATTCATCTGGAAACAAGAGCTGCATGTTTCTAGGGTACTCTATTGTCTTCTGCAAATAAAGAATGTCAAAAAAAAAACCTACAAAATTCCCAGAGTATCAACAGTTTGTGGTGTGCCGGTTCTGCCTATTTGTCACTGCAGTAACATTACAAATTTATGTAATAATGTAAATAAAATTATTATTATTGTAACCACCAATTATCTACAACATGACACATAATACTGTACCATCAAGATCAAGTTAATTGTGCTGCAACTAAAAGAAGTTTAATGAAAACAGATCTCTTACATAACAACTTGTTGACCATGCTCTTCTTGCAACTGCTTCTGCGTGAGGGAAACATCAAATCCTTGTTGTGGCAAACTAAATAGATCTTGAATATCCTGAGGGCACAAACAGGATACCAATAAGTATCTAATAGGAAATTAAGCAAACAATGACAGGAAATGGAATCAGAACAAGTACACTCTTGCTGAAGTAACGTGTTTGCTCTTTTTGTTCCGTAGCTGTCCTGAACAGAGCCCCCTTCAAAACCTGAGAAAAAAGATAATATCTCACTATTCAGTCTAGTTTTATTTTCACACATTTATTTTAAAAAAATAGTGATTTGCTAAGATGGAAGCACAAACCACAAGGCTAGAGAAATCCATGAAAGAAATAGAGTTGTGTGCATAGCATGGTAAGAAGGATATCCAAGTAACACATTACATTCCCATTTACATAAACAAAAAATATTAGCTGATTTTACACCTAGAAATCAAATTTTAGTAGTATGGTCTATGCTGTTATAGAGAGAAACAGAAGGATGTAACTAAAATTTCACCATATAAAACCATGTATAGAAAGGTCATACTGCTAGTAATTGCATCAACCAGAAGGTAAGAAGTGATATTTGAACCTGTAATTTGTATATCTTTTCTTCAATGGTCGCAGATGTCATCAAGCGGTATACAATCACATTTTTGGTCTGTCCAATTCGGTAAGCACGATCAACACTTTGATTGTCTGTACTGTAAATAGAAAAAACAAGTGTGTAAGATAGAAAACTTGTAGTGTTAAACACTCATTCAAGAAAACTTCAATCGATACAGACATACAGTTAGGTATCATTGTTCAGATACCTAGGGTTCCATGCAGGATCAACTACTATGACGCGAGCTGCCTTGGTGAGTGTAAGTCCAAGTCCACCAACTTGTGTTGTTAGCAGAAAAATTGGAGCTCCACGACCCTCTTGGAAGTCCTGAAGGATGCAAGTTTGTGTAAGCAACAAAAAAGATATGGACAGCTCTATGACGTAGGTTGGAAAAAGGGAAGGTGAAAACCTTCACAATCCTTTCCCGCTCAGAAACCTTGGTGGTGCCATCAATGCGCAAAAACTCATAGCCCTCTAATATTATGGCTTCCTGTTACAATAAGCCAATGACTGAAATTGTTGAGCTAATAGGCCAAAGAAATTGTCAATGAAGAACATTCTGGTACCAAGAAGCCAAAACGCATCACTGACGCTTTATCCAGCAGTAGATTGCAGGTCAAAAAGGCTACTGGCAAACTAATGCTCACATGAAAGATTGATGTGCAATGAAATCTAGAGTCTAGATTGATGTGGTAGTGTAACATCACTGGCTAGGGAAATGAACTCTAGATTGATGTGGTAGTGATTACCAATGACACTATGAAAGATTAAAAGGCAACCAAACTTTTACTAAAAGAACAGGATGTGATGTTACACTTCAGCTTGCAATCTTGCATAAATGTGACAGTAATGAGTCCATGTATTTTAGTTTTCACCAAAATTTTACTAAAGATGACTGGCCATAAATGTTCTCTAGTTATGGAGCTTACCCATGCACATTGAGATTCAAGAGTAACAAATGGCCCAAATAAATTAATGGATCTAAACTGTATTGTATCAATATATCAAATTAGAAGAAATGAGTCTAAAAGTCACAAGGTGCAGGATGTGCTAAGGTAGTACGAAGCAAAAAAGAATTAAAGTAGCAACAATATACCTGAACAAGGTTTAGCATTTTACGAGTCTGTGAAAATATTAAAACACGATGCCCCTCTCCAACAAGGTTCCGCTGCAACATCAGGTGTTAATTATTTTGAGCAAGTACAAATGCATAGGTAACAACCAAAATGGGCATGCATCTAATAATACTTACCAACAAGGACATGATGAATGATAGCTTGCATGAGACATCCTGACCAACTTGCAGTGCATCATCATCATGAGCCATATCTGCAAGGTTCATGGCCATTTTTTCTACCATTCCAATGTCTTGATCATTCAACATTTCATCCATTCCTTCCAAGACACCCTCAGCACCTTTCTTAGTCAATAGCAGTGGATGATCACAGATTTTCTTCAATATCTGTTGGAGAGAATAAAGTAAAGCAGTGTAGCGAACATAATCTCATCAATAAACATGCAACAGCAAGCTTTTCTATAAGGCTACAAACAACACCCCAGCCCCAAAGGCAAAGGGTCAATAGCATCATTATGAAGAAAAGGCTTATTCTTACTGTGATTGCAGCCAACGGTGACGCCTTTGGCTGCAACGCTAAATGAACCAACTCACTGTTCAGAAAAGCTTTATATAGTTTCCTCTGCATCCAAAGAAAGGTCACCGGAAAATATAATCATTAATCAATAGCTCAAGCAACTTCTCATAACAATGACACCAAATTCAAACCTGGCATGGTGTTAACTTCAGCCAGACAATTAGCTCATTCTTCTTGGCTAATGTTTTTTCTTCTGATGCACCAGTATCAAAGACAACTTCACTTTTCATGCGTCGCAAAAAGTATGGTTTGATTCGCTCTCTTAGTTCCTATGAAATATAGTTCAAAACCAACAAAATAAAACAATCTCATATTATATCAAGTAAAGAGCGACATATTTAGGAGTTAGTAATGTGGACTGGTGAGCACACAAAAAGGCAGCAAACTAAATAGGCTTAATTATCACATGTTCACCCTCTTAGTGTTTCAACTGAAAGTAGATATGAGTAATCTTAAGTCTGGATGCAGCACATAAGCATTGCTTTCAAGTGTCAATCAAAGATGAATGTGCTACCAAGTTGGTATATGAATGAGTCACTCAAATTACAATTTGTTGATGTATAACTGTGTTACTTTATAAAAGACTAATAATGAAGTTGTGTTCAAGCCTTCACATATCTGTGCAGTACTGGAATATACCAAACCCAAGCTTTTACAGTACAAAACACCAACATAGATGAACACCTTCTTGTCCAAATCCATAAAATCCAAAACAATGAGCAAACAAGTTCATTTGTCCAACCATACTATCAGGGAAGGCAGAGTCATACCCCGTCCATATATTGGTACATTAGAAACAAAAAGAAGTTCAGGAAATAAGTTATTACCTTTGCCACATTTGAGCCTACATGCTTCTCTCGAGCTGTAGCATTTTTGTCATTTCCTCGAAGGATAGGCGTTTCAAACCTTATTTTGAACCTGTAACAATACAGAGAAATAGATGGCATTAGATAGGGCAATCAAGCAACTTTGGGAGTACAGGAAAAATAGAGAGTAATGGACTGTATGGTATTACTGTTGTTTATCACCCAAGACATCTGGGCAACAAAAATTGAACAGAGTCCACATTTCCTGCAATGATAATAAGGCTTACTTGCAAAACATGTACTATAGCACATAAAATACAAAGTTGCAGGAATCGAGGAATGGGATGATGGATACCTTCAAGTTATTTTGAATAGGTGTCCCACTGATCACAATGCGATGGGCACAAGGTATTTCATACAAGCTTTGGGCCCTTTGTGTCTTATTGTTTTTTATTAGATGCCCCTCATCAAGAATTATGTAATTCCACAATGTTCCTTCCTCATCATCATCAACATTGTTGTAGGAGTTGCCTCTTATTAGCTTGTAGTTGTTCCGGACAATGTCATAGGTGGTTAGGAGGATACCACCCTCCTGTAAAAAGATGGAGTTAAACATTTGCCAGGACAAATTGCAACATTTTGGGAGGGATTCATGAATTTAGTTTAAACTGTTCAAACTTTTAAGTGCTACACAATGCCAGGTTACAATAAGCTAGATCAAGAATAATCCTTACGGAAGATACCTTTGTGGTACAAGAATTTACCTTGAAGGCATATTGGAGTTCATAACTGCGAATATTTGTGCTAGGGCCAGAGTAGCTGTCAAAAATGGAAAGGAAAAGATGATTAGCACCAACTTACAGGACTGGATCCTATGGAATTGACAAAAGATATATAGTGTGCTATACTCTCTGATCTTCTCTTTAAGGCCAACAATTGAAAGCTCCTTGGTCCAATGAGCCAGAAGTGTCTTTGGAGCAACAATGAGCACCCTCTTGACTAGACGAGAATGAAACAATCCAGCCAGAAATGCAGCAACCTGCAGCAGAAATAAGGTTGCACGATTCCATTGGTGGATTTCTTAGCTAAATGAACTGCTGGCAAAGGAGGTGAAATTGTGAACAGATGCATAATATGAAGCCAACTGGGAAATAACTAGCTTATAGGACAACAAGCCAACAAAAGAGGCCTATGCTTCTGTCTGAAAGAAACTGATTTCAGCTTCATAAATAAATACAGAAAAAAAACAAAACAGAACAATGTGGGTGTGCATGTTCACATTTCTGTAAATTATTACAAGGACAGGAAGCTATGCATCGGAAAGTAAACAAAAGCCTATCCTGCCCCTACAACTAATTGAGAAAACAAGCCCAATAAACAGTTACAGCCCTGAGCTAAAAGAAGGGCAGACAGCAAAGTGGCGTCAGCAGGAACAGTAAAACCTCTCTAAGCCTTAATGTAATCTGGAAAAGCTCAAGAAAAGGGGGAGCTGAGCATGGCAAACCTGCATTGTCTTGCCAAGGCCCATGTCATCCCCTAGGATTCCTCCGGTTCCCCTGCAGTGCAGAACCCAGAGCCAACGGAGGCCCTCACGCTGGTGGGCGAAAAGCATCTTGAATATCTGTCCTGGGAGCTTGTATGGCTTGGATGTTGCAGCAGTTCCAGTTGGATCCATCTTGAAGTCCTCCGTCTTCTCCCATCCAACATCCTCAGCATTGTTCTCAGCAGCTCCAAGATTCTCCTTCTCCTGACCCAGCTCATCATCACTGACGTCATTGTTCCTGAATGTTGAGATCTTGGGTGGTCTCCTTGTGAGTGCCTTGTTTCTTACCTGCTTAACAGCATAAGCTGTTCCTGTTCCTTGGTCCTCCCCACAGTTGTCATAATCAGAGTCGGAATAAGAATCAACAAAGGATGAGGTCTTTGATACCCTGTTTAGCCTCCCAACATCCTTGGCGGTCCCTTTGTTCTTCCCCTTGCCACGGACGTCATCACTGGCATAATGGGTACAGGCTGACGAGACTGAAGTAGTTTCAATCTTGACCTGAGGGCGTCTGGTGGTGACCGTAGCTTCATCAGAACAAGAAATTTGAACGGGCGAGGAGGCGCCGGGATGGGCATCCCCATCATCTGCGCTCTGGTCATCTAGGTCGTCCACGGTGATGGCGCAGGGCAGAGGGGCGAGCTGCTGTGTCCTGGGCCTCTCGGTGGGGCCGGGTTTCTGGACGGATAGAGAGTCGAATCGGGTGATGAGGTCATCTAGGATGTCGAATATGCTTTCGCCGTCGTCCTGGTTGTCGCCATCCACCTCCTCCTCATCCACTTGCTGAGTGGCGGTGGCGGTGGCGGCGAGCTTGCATAGGCGGCGGCGGCCGGCGAGCTTGACCTTCCCGACTTGTTCTTCGGCGGCCGCTTCTGCGAAGAGAGAATAGATTGAAGGGAGAGGAAAAACAATGGAGCGAGAAGAGACGACCGTACAGTACCTGGAGGCGGAGGCGGAGGCGGTTGCGGATTGGGGCTAGGGTTAGGGTTTTGGGTGGGGCGCTGGAAGCTGCGGGTGAAGCGGAGGAGGTGGTCGTTGAGGCCGTTGGGTGTGGGGGCGGCGGCAGGGAGATGGCGATCCTTGGGGACGGCGGTGACGGGTTCGTCGATGTCGTCGTCGTCGAGGTCGCTGCAGAGGTCGAAGGGCGGGGGAGACGCCATCCAGCCACGGAGACGCCCAAGGGGCGAGGGGAGTGGGTGCTCTTCCTTCTCAGTTTCTCACCTTGTGGAGGAGGGACAGGAAGGAGAAGCAGAAGCAGCAGCGACCGTGTTTGTGTGCGTGTGTGTTTATGAAGAAGGAAGGAAGGGCCGAAGGGGAATGGATGGTGGCGAGCGGCCGCGGCCGTTTCAAATTTCGAATTCCAACGGGACGGAAAGGATTCGCATTGCAACCGAAACGGAACCAGCCACAAATCTCGAGGGATTGGGAACTGCGGCAACCGGCGGCGAAGAGGGAGACCGACACCTGAGCTCTGCCCTGGACTATAGTTGGCCATGCAGCTCGAGGCACGATGCCACGGCACGAAACCCGCTTTTTTAGCCCGACACACAGCTCCAAGACGACCCGTTCCGTTGACATGTGGGCACTGGTGGCCCTACCGAGGGGAAGCGGCCGTGCTGGGCATTGCTTTCGAGCCCGTGAAATTTGTGCGGCACGCACGGCCCGCCTGCGTCACCCGGCTGGCGTGGCCCGGACACTCCTCCCCCTCCTCACTCCACTTCCCTCCCCGCGGCCCAGCTAGCCGGCCCACCGTCCCCCGAACCCTAAGTCCCTAAGTCCTTCCCTCCCCCCCCCTCCCCGCGTAGCATTCCCCTTCTCTCTGTCTCGCGCGGCCCCACTCGCACCCCTCCTCTCCCCCACGCCGTCGTGCACCTCCTCTCCCCCACGCCGTCGCGCACCCGCACCCCTCCTCCTCGCGCACAAGCTGCAGAGCGCCACGGCGGCCATCCGCGACCTGCCTCGGGCTCCTCTCCTCCCATCCCTCCACGAGGCCGCGCCTTGGGTGCGAGCGCGGCGTGCTCGAGCTCCTGCTTCCCCGTGGCTCGCCGAATCCCCTCCATCCCCTTCTCTTCTCGTGGGATCCAACGTCGAGCGCCGCCATCGCCTCCATGATCCCGCCTTGCTTGGCCTTGTGGAACAAGGCTGGCTGCCCTAAGCTCGTGAGCGACTTGAGATCCGCCACGAGCTCCGCCCCAACGCTAGATCCGGCCACGAGCTCCGCCCCGACACCACGATCTCCGGCTGCTTGCCGTCAGGGCCTCCGCCGCGCTCTCCTCCCGGGCCGCCTCGGCCCATGGCGCTTGACCTACCTCTCTCTCCTTCCCCATCTTGATGCGGGCCTTGGGCCGACTGGCTGTTAAAAAGGTCGTGCTTTTCCGGACCGGCCCAAGACGCGAAAGTGGCCCGACGGGCCGTGGTCTGGGCCGTCGGCGTGGTGGCAGTGGTGGATCGGGCGGCACGACCGCGTGCCCCGTCGTGTTTCATCAGTGTCGTGCCCTACCGGGCCATCTTGGGCCGGGGCGGGGTGGCCCAATGGCCGCCTATATACCGGATCGACGCGAGGCCGTGGGTGGCGGATAGGGAGGGACGGAAGGGAGATGGGCAACAGACGAGGAAGAAGGAGCGTGCCGTGCCGCGTGCCATGGTGAGGAGAGCAGGATTTGCGGCGCTGGGAAAAGGAGATCGACGGAAAGGACAACCGCCCGTGTGGGTGTACACGGGCGGGTATGCCGCGCGTGGGTGGGGACTGTGTTTTTTTTTACTATATATAGGTGAAAATGCAATCAGCCAATCACAAAATTGGATAGAGTGGAGTTGTTTTTAATATAAATACAAATACTAGTACCACACTCCCTCCTATAACAAACACTTTGACATAGGAGTATTTTATTTCACACGGTATTGGACATAGTAGTATTTCATCACACTTTGATGCATATCTTTTACTATTAATTTTTATCTACTCACCCTAAACGATGAATTCTTACGACTATTTAGCATTATGCTAGCCTTAGTGGAAAGTTTCATATACCAGGTTTTAAAGCGTGGCAATCTTAAAAAATGGAAATTAAAACGGTCTCTAAACATAGAATTTTGATTCATGGTATTAAAAAGTTATATATAAAATAAATAGCATGTGACGCATGATAAATACGGAAAGGTGCCACATGAGGATGTAAGACACATGAGATTTAAACACATTGTGTGGGGATGAAACTATAAGCTTAGTACATGATCCTATTCCTCCAAAAACAACAAAATTGGGCCACCAAGAAAATTGTTGCATTCATCATCAATTGATATGCATTCAAATAAGCCTTTCCTAGCCCGCCGCATCAACGAGTTGATTGGTGGGCAGGTGATCGTGAAGCTCGTGAACCCCCCAGAGCGGATGGACCGAGGTACCATCACGATTGACTGCGCACTAGAGGCCATGGCCACAACGTCCAAGGGGCTGTTTAGTTCTCCTCCAAAATATCAATTTTTTCAAGATTTTTTGTCACATCGAATCTTTGGATGCATGCATGAAGCATTAAATATAAATAAAAAATAAAACTAATTATATAATTTAGCCACGAGACGAATTTTTTAAGTCTAATTAAATTATGATTGGACATCAATTGACAAATAACAACAAAAAAATACTGCAGTGTCATTTTACAAAAAAAATTCGGCATGTAAACTGGGTCAAGAAGAAGCCTATCAAGTAGGGCGACACGGTGGAAGTGCAGATCACCGGAGAGTGCGCCAACACGACTACCAAGATGTGCACCACGCGGTTTAATGCCTTCTCCAGCAGCGGATTCAATTCCCGGTAAAAAGGCATGTAATTTTTTGCCTCTTCTCATCTCCTTCTCTCCTTCGTCCTCACAGGAATAATTGTTTAATGATTAAAAACTTAATTCTATTTTGGATTTGATTCCTCTCTGAGAGCATGGTTTAGTTTATCTCCAGCGGTGAAGAATCAAATTTCTAGCTCATGCATCGTTGCAGGATTCGCCCATTGGTGAAGGCCTAGCTATCCCCGGAGGTATGGCAATGTCAGTGCAGGTAGCTGGCAGCGGTTGATCAGAAGTTCAAAACGCCCTGCCGCTCGCAGCAAGGACAAGGTCATGCTCCGTAACTCCTCTTGGTGCACTTTAGTGCTTTCTCGTTCCTAGATTTGCAGTTTCGCTTGCACCATCCAAACCTATCTCATATACGTTGGATTTTGACACGGTGCCAATGTGTGTTTCAATTGAAGTCCTCAAGCCATATGGTAAGCATTCCCGCAACTCCACAAAAAAATTAGAGTTTGTGGAGCATCTTTTTAGGTGCTTTCACAACTCCACCTCTTTTCTTCAAACAGAGTGCGTGGAGTTGAAACCGTTTAGCTAAAAAACGTGGAGCGGAGCTGAAAAACGTGGAAGCGGAGCAGTCCCAAACACCACCTTAGTTTAAATACAATGAATATAATTGAAGACAATAATAATTACTCCATCTGTCCAGCAAAGAATGCAACTACGGGTTGCGTGCCGGTAAAAATAGTTCATGTTTGATCAAGTTTTCAATGAATACTATTCGCATTTATAACTCCAAATTAATTTATTATAAAAAATACATTTCGTAATTAATTTAATGATATTTATTTGATATCATAAGTATTAATACTTTTTTTATCTATAATTAATCAAACTTAAAATTCTAAAACGTGACACGGGGTTAGAATTGCAATCTTTCCTGGACGGAGGGAGTAACAACAAATGAACATGTCTCTGGTAAAACACATATTTTTAGTAAGTACAATATTGGTTACTGTATAACAAATAAATACTAATAAAAAAATGATTATATTAATCTTGTTTAATCTGAGTAGTTCTTTGGGGAAAGATAATATCTAATAATATATGGATATTTACCATATGGTTATGAACCCTCCCACTTTGATTTTTGCTTCGAGAGAATACTCATGAATGAAATAACAAATATTTTCTAAAACTTTACATTGTTGGAACACCACGTTTAAAGTATTTTTTGATAAAATATAACACATATTTAAGCTTGAATTATCTTAATAATTTTTTTCCGTTGCCAACGCACACGATCCTAGGATCATCAAGCTAACAACGAACCTAAACCATGTGTGTGCCGCTGTTTGGTTTGGTCTGGTTTGGTTTGTCAACGCTCCGTTCCGCTGACCATCGACTCGCTCATCAATCCTCGTCTTCTCCAACAACTCTCATCCCCTCCAGTCTCCATCGCATCGAATCGGGTTGGAATCGGACTCGATGCCGCCCCTCTTCCTCTCCCTCTTGGTGCTTCTGCCAGTGCTCCCCCTCCCCCACGCATCCGCCGACGCCGACATCTGCATCGTCGGCGGTGGCATCTCCGGCGCCTCCACCGCCTTCTTCCTCACCAACTACACCACCTCCCTCGCTGGAGCGCAGCTGCGCGTCTTCGAGCGCCGTCACAAGGTGGGCGGCCGCCTCGGCACCGTCACTCTCGCGGGCGACAGCTTCGAGGCCGGGGGCTCCATCATCCACCCCCGCAACCTCCACGCGCGCCGCTTCGCCGACCTCCTGGGCCTCGCCGCCAAGGTCGGCGGCGACGACGATTGGCTAGGGATCTGGGACGGCAAAAGCTTCGTCTTTCAGACGCTCCGCCCACCGCCGACCGGCAGCTCCTGGTGGCGTCGCAAGCTGCACAGCCTCCTCAACTCGCTGCTGCTGCTCAGGCGATATGGTCTGTCCCTGCTCAAGATGGACAAGTTTGTCCAGGTTAATTCTTCCTTCTCTACCGTAATTATTCTTCCCCCACTCGTGTCTAGGATGCACAGATTTGCACTTGGTGAGCCTGGTGCGGTATGCTGATCAGTTATTATAGTTACTATTAATTAAAATACTGAATGCAGGAAATGCTGCAACGGTTTATGCTCTTCTACAACGGCTTGGAGTCTCGCCCTGTCTTTGCCACGGTTGAGGAGATGCTCCAATGGACTGGTCTCTATGGCCTCACCCGCAGGACCCTTGAGGAGGAGCTGCTCGATGCCGGCCTCAACACCCAAACAATAGCAGAGCTTGTCACTGTATGCTTCTCCTCAATCCCTGACACTGTATTGTCTTTCTTCCTCTCAAGCCATATGCCATCTATGCTTCCATGGTTTAGTGGAATTTGAGCTAAATTAACTTCCTTGGTACTAGACAGTGACGATACTAATTGGCTCATGGTTTCTTCTGGAAGATGCTCTCTGTACTGTTTTTTACCAGTGAAATCCCATTTGATGTAGTTTCCCCCCAAAATGCATCATCTCTTTCTGATAAGTATAATCAATGTATTCTTTCCCTCACAGGTTATCACGAGGATCAACTATGGCCAAAGCACACACATAAGTGGCCTGGCTGGCGCCGTGTCTTTAGCTGGATCTGAGTCAGGATTATGGGCTGTCAAAGGGGGCAACTGGCAGCTAGCTGCTGGATTGCTCAAGACCTCTAATGCCACCTTGCATCTTCAAGAAGGCATAGACTCGATCACTGATGCTGGGGATTACTATGTTCTGAGATCTAATACTGGGAGCGAATACAACTGTACGGCGACTGTGGTGGCAACACCACTTGACGAGGTGAACATCACGTTTAGCCCTCCAATCTCCATTCCGCCGAGGAAGATGCAGCACACACATGCCACCTTTGTCAGAGGCCTATTGAACCCTGTAAGTGTTATGGTAGCATACTGCATACCTACCTATCTATTGCCATTCCTTTTGTAGATCCTAGCATCAACACACAGCAAAATGAACGAGTGGCGAGTAACTGATAGCCTGTGAGCTTGTTACTGATGAAAGCCTCTTTGACGCTTCCTTGGTTGGGGCGACTTATTGATGACAAGGCACTTGCCTTTTGCTGTATTCTATCTATGGTTGCAGGGATATTTTGGTGTAAACTCAGCATCAAATGTTCCAGAGCTAATTGGTACCCTAGAGCTCCCCGATATCCCTTTCTCGTGCATCTCAGTTTTGAAGAGGTACAGCGAAGATGACATGGCCTACAAGATGTTCTCACGTGCAAAGCTGGACGATGGTTTACTGGATCAGATCTTCAGGTACGTAGCAGTTTGATTATATTGAGTTAGTCGCCCAGATGAGATGAGGTTGGTAAGTTAATATGTGCTGTTGTATTTGTTGGAGAGCAGCGCGAGGAAAGAGACGATCCGGATAAACTGGGCTGCTTACCCACACTACGAAGCCCCAGAAGAGTTTGGTCCGATAGTGTTGGACGGGAAGCAGCTGTACTACGTGAACACCTTTGAGAGCGCCGCGAGCGCCATAGAGACGGGCGCCGTGGCAGCAGAGAATGTGGCACGTCTCATCATTTCGAGGCTTTCTCTACCGCAGCGAGGAGTCGAGCCTGATGCTCCTCATATCAAGTCATTCGCGGAGCAGGAGGAAGAAGGATCCCAGCGTCGGCATGTAGACCTGTGATTCTGTAAAGCTGGGCTGGGATGTGCCCGTGATTCGTGTGAAACTTTGTATAGATTTTAGCTGGGCACTCTAGGCGCAACAGATGTATTATGTGTCGAGCTGTGGCAGTCAGGCTTTTAGCTGTGTTGATTGAGTTGTACTCGACTACTTGTAGTGTCTGCTGTTGAGTTGCAGCGGCATTTTGGTACATTTGATTTGGTGACGAATGTTTTGTAGATGGATGATATCATAGTACTACTAAGATTTGGTTGACATTTTTTCCCCTTGATTGAACTAATAGTTGTATCGCTGACCGCACAAAAATTAACCTAACAAGTCTCAATTGCTGTCCTAGCCTCCTGCTTTCTTTGACTGCTTCTCACTCGGTCATAATCCCTTTTTTTCATAGTAGGTAGGCTAAAAAATTAAAGGAAACTTTACTAAACCGACAGCTTCAAATCTCATCACATTGTTATTCATTGACCTTAAATAACAGGCTCCATACCATTTTCCAGGTTACATACTTGTTCCGGAGGCCATCTATTGGGGATATAGTGTTTTTCAAAGTGCCTTCTGCCGTACAGGTTTGCCTTCTTCCTTCTGCCCCTCCACTTCTCAATCAGATCCTCGCATTGTCCACCCTGAAAATGTGCAGCTTCCAATTTCAGAATTATGGTGTCAATAAGGATGTTGTCTTTATTAAGAGAGTATTGGCAACACCTGGAGATTTCATTGAGGTAAACTGCATCACTACATTTGTTCTATTCCGGTATGGTCATTTGCCATAGCAAGACACAGTGGAGTCACCCAGCATCCTCTTACATTGACCTGTGTATAGGTTCGACAAGGGCAGCTTATTGTAAATGGTATTGCACTGAAGGAGCATTACACAGCAACCCATGCGTTGTACACAATGGAAGCAATGGTTTGTGCATGCATCTCTAATCTGTGAGCATTGTCTCCTTGAACAACATTGAGGAGTTCATATTGCCAGGTCCAGAGATTTTAAACTTCTGTTAACAAAATGGTTAACAGACGTGACGAGAGAATTTTCATTCTCCACAAGAAGATGATCAAAAGTGGACTGGCTGCTCCATGTTGTTGACTTCTTGAGCGCCTCGTTGTAATCAATGGGCCTCAGATGGTGGATGATCTCTTCCTTCCATCTTTCCTTAATGGCTGGGTACCTGGATCCTCAACTGAAAGTATTCATACTCCTGCAGCGCCTTCCTGAAGGCCATGTATTCGTCATGGGTGACAACCGAAATAACAGCTGTGGTTCTCGTGCCTGGTAAGAAATACGCTTACGCCTCTGCACTAGCTCAAGCCCTATAGCAGTAGATATAATTCATTGTTCAGCTAGAGACTTGAGACTACAAACTACTACAGTCATTGAGAAAATCTCTTGCTAAGCGTTATAGCTGTGAGGTCTTGCTGCCGTACATGCTTTGGAGGCAATTGGGTTTGGATATAGATTGATATAAGCATCAGCACCATACTGAGTGATTTCCAAATTGCTTGGAGTTGAACAGTAGCGTTTGCTGTTCCCTATTGGTAGTTGACTTGTCCTTGTATGGCTGACTTGCAGCTTGTTTTTTGTTGCCATTTGTCTGGGCACTAATAGTGGTAATATATCTGTGGTGCTTTTGGTTACAGGGGGCCTCTTCCCATTGCCAACATCGTTGGAAGGTACATGACGTCCTTTACAAGATCCTCTTTCCAGTAACTGAAGTGAAGAGGTTCCACTCAATGTTCCTGAAGCTGATGTCGCCTCATAATCGTAGTTAGAGAGTTGTGCTAGGGTGGAGCCAGGCTGCTATCTTGTCAACTTGTGCCAGAACTAGCCCTCCGAGTAATGCTGTAGCGCGCTGTTGTTGAATATGATCGCCTTTCTCCCACCCGTGGGAACTAGAGGTTACCTCTGCCGCTCGCAGTCGCAGTTGGCACGAGCTCTCAGGCCGCCTCAGGCTGTTCGTGTGTTGAGCTTGTGATTACCTTAGGTGATGAAGCTTATCGTTAGCGACGCTAAATGTCGAACACAATTTGCATCAGAAATTTGAACATGATTGTGTTCTTGTTCCAGACTGCGTGCTTTTTTCAGTAAATCTGTGTTGCTCGTGACATTGCCTGTTTGCGTGCCGCATCAGTCATAAATTACGCGTCTTTAACACGCTTTATTCGAACAAATGATGCCCCTCAACAAATTGGGCGTTTCCTTCCATCAGGACTGCCAACGTACGGTTCTAGCTTTAGCACAGTGCAAGAGCTGAGACCACTAATGTAGGTACTAGGTACAGTAGAAACATGCTGATAATTCCTATAAAAAAAACATGGTGATAAATTCCACCAGACCGCATAGCAACACTAGCAACAGATTTCCACTCGGGTGCTAACCACTGAGAAAATATATTGTAAGTTCGACAAGATGTTGGGCGTACATACAAATCTGCCAAGGAAAAAAAACAAAGCAAAAGAGGGTCCCTACATCGTACCCTTTGTACAAGCTCATGGATATTATCTATATATACCCACCCCCTAACTCGTGCAAATTAATGATTAGCAAACAGACATTAATGTAGTGACCGGAATGATTCGGACGATCTTAGAGGAATTCCTTCACCATCTTCGTCTGTTTGCTTTGAGAACCGCACTGAAGAAGATGTAGGAAGACGGAAGGAGGATGAAGTCGAAAGCCCTACATTGACACATGAAAAATAACAATCTCAGAACATGTAACCCACAAAGGAAGGAACATAGAAAAGTTGGTATGATGAGAAATTCGTACCACCATCAGCCATGTCTTTTGTTTTATGTAGAAGAAAAGTTCCAGAAAGGATCGTAACAAAGCCACACATCTCAGTCACAATTTGTGTAGGATTTTGCCTGTCCCAGTCCTGCACACAGATACAAAATGGAACTAAGTGGTCTCGTCTGCTGAGTTCTATCTACTCCATAAGTATTCACAGGCTATGCCTGAAGCTCATGCTCATACCATTTCTTATATAGTTTACTTTAATGCAATCCGAGGAAAACTCATAAATTTATATTTGAAATTGGATAGGAACACTGGCTGAATCACTATCTAGTGCCCTGCTCAAATTTCACAACCAAAGCATGAAGCTGAAAAGATAAGCTACAACAATTGAAACACATACCTTGAACATGATGACACTTGCCAAGATAGTTAAAGATGTGAACATGGTATAATAAATGGGTGACACAACTGCTGTATTAAACGTGTCAAGTGCCTGCGTACAAGGAGGAAAAGGAATCACCATCACCATTTGTTTTAGGAAAATATAATGCTTCATTGGTCAGGCAAGGCTGATGTCGTGGTTAATGAATTGAACTTGGCTCTCTATAGTGCTAACTAAAGCTTTAACCATCCAATCATATCACCAATTTTACCAGAAAATTCACACTTCATTTCCCTAAGGTATCAAATCTATCGTAGTTCCCAACATCTGGGGACTACTAGTCCTGCTGGACTAGAAAATAACAAGATAAATAAATGAATGAGTCATATGCCCTTATGCCAATCTCCTCTTTTTTGACCAGTTAACTTCTAGAATCCTAGTCACCCTTGTATTATGATGCTTTGCTAGATCAAGGAAAGAAGATAACAACAATTGGTTCAGATAGTAGAAATCAAAATACCTTTTTTAGCAATAACAGCAGGGGTTTCAAAAATCAGAATACAGGCAAGGAGAAAAGAAGAAAATAACTGTACAATGTCTATATAGGAAAGGAATTCCAGAAGATAAGATTATACAAAGGAATTAATCCAAGAACACAGGGAAGACTTTAATTTCGCTTTCAAAAAACAGAATACCTTGTTCAAGTAATTCATTTGGGTAATGATACATGAGATGACAACCAGAGTAAAAGCCCATGTCTGTGGGTATATAAGCTGGTTCGTTCCTGAAAAGGTCAGCTTCAATGCTATGCCGAGAGCTTTCACGCTCATGACCTGCATAGTTAGGCCAACGACTTTGTAATAAAACACACAACAGGAGATCATAAACGCATGCTATATCAAAAGAATGCATACCGAGATGGAACCAACAAGAGAGCAAACACCTATGTAGACCATGACATGTGTCTGCCCATAAAGTGGGACAAACCGATAAACAAGTATGGCAGCTATAGCAATTACCACTGCTGCATAACACATGAAGGCTGAAAAACAACATCAAGTGATCATGACTTGGTGGTGTGGTGTAATTATTCAAGAACAATGTAGGCAATTAAGCAGATACAAAGCAATGGGCAATAGCAAATACCTGGTTCCGTAGCCAGATCCCACACTTCTGTCACCGACTCAATTTCACGCTCTGGTGGAGCATGAAGGACTATTGTGGTGGATCCCACAACACATAGGACACATCCAAGAATTCCGAATATGTGCAGCTTCTCCCGCAGCATTACATGTGCAAGCACAGCGCTGCAGAACAGAAGCTAGCTCCAGATTAGTGATAAAATGAATAAAAGGTTGCAGTAAGGCAATGCAAACAGTTCCATGACTGAGAATTCATGCCTGATAATAATGCTAAGAGCACCAAGAGGAGTGACCAAAATAGCCGGAGCAAATGCATAGGCTGCGAAATTTGCAACTTCTCCAACAATCACTGCCAAAGAATTTCCCAAAAGAGACAGTATGTCAATAAGCTATCTATCTATTATCTATTAGAATGAAACAGAAGAAAAAGAAGAGGCAAGCGCTTACTTGTTATCATGCCAATCCACCAAAGAGGCTCATATAAATAAGAATAACCACCAACCCCTGTCATAACATGGAACATTAATACTGCAGTTTGGTAGTATAAGTGACATAGACAGACACCTCAGGGAAAGAGTACAAAATGAGGCTGAAAATTGCGATACAAACTCCTGTAGGAGGAGGAGGGGGGTTGGAGATACAACATGACATAAGTCTTCTCGATTTTGGGCGTAAGTCAGAGGTGTCATGTACGTGAGTATCAGACACTGAAATTTTTAAGTCAGATCGCACGTTACTTACCTGCAATGCAATGCAACACTTAACCAACAAAGTAGTTTGCTAGGGAAAGGTGTGATACTTTGGAGTAGCACAAATTCAGTAAGCTTTAGTCAGTTAACCATTGAAGCAGTTGAACTCCAACTGCAGCTGTTACATAAACATATAACATGAAAAATATTGAAAATGAAATATGCTTTCATCAACAATAGTTCTAGATATCAATGGTGATTAACGAGTCAGGCATGTATGGGCTGAGTTCAGTTCATATAGGTAATGAGGTCAAACATGTTAACTCCGGAATGGGCGTCAGGAGAATGAATCTGGCATCCGTTCTATGGTGAAGAACAGAGTGAAGACAATTGGGCAATTCTCCGTGACACATTGAAGAAGCAGGCAAGCGCACGGCGTACGGACAGGGGAGGGGAAAAGAGAAAGCGTACCCGCCCTGATGCCGGAGGATGCGGCCTTCTTGAGTCCCTTCTTCTTGATGATGAAGCTGGCGCCGATGAAGAGGCTGGAGGAGAGCGCGAGCACCAGGCCCTTGATGTTATCCGCCGACATGCCCGTGTACCACCTCCCCCCGCCTGAGGCGGAGGCGGAGGCGGCAGTGGTCGAAGTTACATCCATAGGGCGGGCCCGATGAGGCTATGATGCTCACCAGAGTTACCGCGGGGAGGACGACGAGAAGGGGGCTGGCGGTGCCCTAGCCCCTAGGTGGTGTCATGAGGAGGGGCGGTGCGCATGCGGCAACGAAGTGAAAGCGAGATCCCCCTCTCCCGCCCTATCCTTGGAGGTGCGGCTGGGCGGCGGTTGGGTACCGTACTTTGCCTTGTCGGCTTGTCTCCTCCCCTCGCCGGGGGGCGGGGGAAGCCGGCCGGTGGTCGGTCTGGTGGCGCGGCCGCGGCGAGCCGGCGAGAGGAGATGGCTTTTCCTCTTTCCACTCCCGTCCTAAAGTTCCTTGCTTTTCCTTTTGGGTTAGGGCGTGTTTAGATGCATTTTTTTTTGGTTTTCGGCTATGGTAGCATTTTCGTTTGTATTTGGTAATTAGTGTCTAATTATGGACTAATTAGGTTTGAAAGTTTTGTCTCACGATTTCTCACCCAACTGTGCAATTAGTTTTTTTTTCATCTACATTTAGTACTCCATGCATGTGCCGCAAGATTCGATATGATGGGTACTGCGCAAAAGTTTTTGGCAACTAAACATGCCCTTATTTGATTCATGCTATTATAATTTTCGATGTTGGAGAAACGCCATTACTATAAGAAAATTACTATTACTGGACGCGAAACAATGGGCTTCGTTATTATAGGACTTCAATCGTCGACTTCACTAAAACGACATTTGGAACGTTGGCACTTTTTTTACATGACATTTGAGTTTTTTAATCATTTTTTTCATTTCAAATATATGTATTTTGTCATGGGATGACCATATTGCCCTTCAATCGTATTCACGTAAGAGTGGGCAGGCATGTGTGCGTGCAATTGCAGCGCCGCGCCAGCAACACGGCCGCGCCGCCGGGCGTCATTGGTCGGGCAAGCTTCTTTGCCGCCACCGCCTGGCTAAAGTCGGAGGCCGGGCGGCCGGTGTGTCCAAGCTCGACGGACATCGCTTGCCTTTCGCCCCCCGTTGCGTGGTTAACGTCGTTGTCGGGACTCACGACGACCAGACGTCATGTTCTTCGTGGTGCCGGATATGAGACCATCCAGAGCGGCGAAGGAGGG